AATATTTACACTATAGACAAGAAGAAAATCTGTAGAACGGCAGTGAGTGTTGACAGAGAGAATCAAGAAACAGGCTTTAAAAACGAATCTTCTCTCAGAATTTCAACACTACTATGGAGGGAAAAGAAAGAAAGAAATCTGCTTAAGTTAAGCATGTAGCCTGTGACAGGTGTGACATTTTTGTCACATTCACATTCTGACAATCAGAAGATGGTCTCATACACGGTAAAATAGTAAATAAAACAGATTATTACAGTACGTCTTTCTACTTCAAAAATTCAAGTTTAATTAAATGTTTCTTTGGAATAATTTGTGAAATTTACTAGCAACTTCTTAGTGAAAATTACACCATAAACACACACACACAAAACACACACACACACACACAAAAAAGACATGTTCAATTCAATGCGTTTCATGCCGATTCTTTGAAACTGCTATGAGGTTCACAAATAATTAAAGAGTGAAAAAAAAATTTCAGGGTACGTCCATTTTTTTTTCAGTGCCACATGAGACGAGCAGGCAATTAATTTTACATCTAAAGCTCTTTAACTCCACTTCCACATGGACAAACACCAACCTCAGTCGGTGGAAAACGATACTCCGCGATCGTGTAAATATCCAGACGACTTTAATCTAATCGCACACATTGGAAAGCAATACGACCACTGAAAATGCAACGGAAATGAAGTGAAATTAAGACGGCTGGCCGTCTCAGTGCCTGTCCCGAATGCGAGGAGATTGTATTTCCCCAACGCTGAATAGCTTTCCTCTGGGGAATGTTTTAGGCCAAAAACAAACAGCTAGCATGTTGTTTAAATGCAGGTATAATTGAGATACAGCATTGATATGACTATCAACAAAGCACTTGTGCTATAAAAATGTCCTTTCCTAAGCGGTTGGCATCAGGTTCAGCACAAAACATTTCAGGTTGATTAAATCAATGTGCATTTAATATCTAGCTCGCCTCTGTTGATTATGTAAGTCTCCATTTTTAGGATGACATAACGGTACAAGCAATATTGCCCCAGGCTGTGTTAGACACAGACGGGCGCTGGAAGTGAACTGGAGCTGCTTCTAGTGCTCAGCAGAGCTGTTGACACCCACAGACACAAGCCTGCGCTGGGACACTCATTATCCCACTCGACACTGATGCACAGTTTGCTCTTTGAGTTTAAGGCCCCGTTTACACAAGAACGCTTCCGGGTGTAAACGTAAAAATATTTTATTGGATATGCCTTTCGTTTACACGGCAACGGCGTTTTGGGGACTTAAAAACGCAAAAAAAAGTGAAACCACCCTCCAGAGTGGAAATCTTAAAAATGCGTTTCCGTCTAAACGGTAAAAACGCAAATCTGCTCACGGTGGCTCTCGTCGCGTAAGTTACGCGTTTACGTCACATGCATGCGCCAGTACAGGAAAACCTCCGCTTCCGGCTCATGGGACCTTGTTTCGGAAAAAATATGGTAGTCAATGGCGAGAGACAACTTATCTTTTTATTCCGTCTGAACTGTGCCCTGAATTACACATATGATGTTTGTCAATTTAAAAGATAATTATGAAAGTCAAGAAAGTCGCAGTTTGTCATAAAACAAAAGAGTAACATTTAGTTTTATGTGAAAATCGCTCAATGAACTACATCTCCCGGGAAGCGAAACAACGAGCGAGATCCGTTGCTCGTGTGTGTGCAGTCTTGTACAAAACACTCAGGCATGACGGCGTAACGTTACGATTATAACGTAAGACTATAGAAAAAATGACAGACGTTAGCTTCAGTAAAGTTAGCTTCATTCATTGAGAGAAAATGTGCGCCTTTTGGGTTTGTAGTCTTTGTAATTACGTATTTTCAAAGTCTTATACCTCAACAGTTTTACATCAAACTGCGACTTTCTTGACTTTAAAATGTATCTTTTAAATTGACAAACATCAGATGTGTAATTCAGGGCACAATTCAAACGAGATCAAAATATTTGTTGTCTCTCGCCATTGACTACCATACAATATTTTTCCGAAATAAGGTCCCATGGCGGTCGACCGGAAGGGGAGGGACTTAGGCTCTCTATAACAACCAACATGTCAGATTATTTCCATACGTCGGACCTTCAAGTTGCCCTAGCAGCTCTGAAAAACATACGTGTTTATATCTATGAAAACATACAAGAGTCTTTTCAGCAGTTGTACAAAATATTCTAAGATATTGGTGTTGTTGTGTGGCAGTGCTTCACATTGCCACCTAGCCGCCTGGAGTGCATACTACATCGAATTTCACACACTTTTGCGTCACCATATGCACGCGGATTTCCCAACCATAACGCTCGTCTAAACGCAGAATAAAAAGTGATAATGCAACGCCACTTTTGCGTTTTCTCTTTAGATCGTTTCCGTGTAAACATAGCCTCAGGTTGATTCACAGAAGTTGCAGAAATCAGAAGGACACGATTTAACTTAACATCACACACACCAAGCAATCCCTTCATGTCCCAATAAACAAAACTCAGTGGAGTTGGTTTTTTTTTATGCTTAAATAGGGTAACAACTTCTGAGTTTTAAATAGGCCATATCGTCAATAATTAATGTGGATTAGACATGGATTTATTTATTGATAAAGGTTATACAGAGCAGTCGTTCTCACCGGGTTTGGCTTCAGGAAATCCACAGGCTTAACAATATGCAAAATGATTAACATGACATAGGCTGAAAAGGAACATTAGTTGCTAAATGTCTCCTAAATTTCTCCTACATTTTCTAAACGGGTTCATGCTCTAGTCATCACCAGTAATTCATAAAAGATATTGTGGTTGGCAAACCATATTTATGTCCATTGTGAGTGAACCTGTGGGTTGTATTTTCTTTTATGTTTCTTTTATGCATGTCATTCAACATGTCCATGATAGCATCTGTCAAATTTGATGAGCTTCTACCAAATGAAAGACAGATTTCTCTAAAATACCATTGGATTGGATGTGACATTAACACCAAAAATGTTTTCTGCTTCTTTTAAACACTGATAAGCCTATTTATTTTGCAATTCTAGCTATGCATGATTTCATAAGTTGTTACATTTTACAATTCAAATTTGGGTTACACTTTATTTTAAGGAGTCCTTTTAAGTACGGAGTAATATTAGTGATCTACATGTATTTACTACATGATTAGGGTTAGGAATAGGGTTAGTTGCTAGTAATTATGCATACATTTACTGTAGTTACTATAGTGCATGTGTGACAGGGACACTATAAAATAAAGTGTTTACAAAATTTGCATATATTTTATGGTCATGACCCACCAGTTGAGAACCAATTGATGGAGACAATATCCTCTATTGAAACAGAACAAAAAAAAATCATGTACAAATGTGTACTGTGCAGGTATTAAATATGTCCTCTCTGAACCTTCTTTGGTATCGTGTAACCTTGGAAAAGTTCAGGCTTCTGGTGCCAAATACCACCAAAGCAAAGTCCATGAAGGTCTGAACAGTAGCTTTTTATGAAGCATCTCCAATAACTCATTATACATATAAAAGAAATGGAGATGGGTTCAACGTGTGCAAACTAACAATGAGATATTACAGATCACACATTTTATGATTGATAATGAATGCGAACAAAATCAAATATAAAATGTTATATTAAATATAACAGTTTGTGTTGTCACAAAGTGTGACAATTGATTGGTAATGCCTGTCACTGTCAGATAATGTCTAGTAATGAAATGCCTTTGGATTGTGGGGGTGAATCAATGAAAATCAATCTTTCACTGTCAGTCATTTGATCAAGAGAAACTAAACTGCATTTTTCCGACCAGTGCGCATGCTGTGGTTATTTTGTTTGGACATGGCAGGGTGACCCTGGTGTGAATCGATCAATCATGTGTTTGGTGGGCAGAATCTCTCTCCCTCTCTCTCCCTCTCCCTCTCTCTTCCTGCTGCTGGCATTAATGGTGAATAAGCGTCATTGAGACAAAAGCTGCACAAAACGGGCTTCCCCTGCCATCACATCCAACAACAGGGTGTAACATGCGCCAGCACTCTGCAAATCTCTGACACACATAAAGTGACAGCACAGCTGCCTGCGTAACTCCTGAACAAGAAATAACTAATGCTTTTCAGCAAAATCAGCAGTTACATCATTTTAGACTGATATAGCAGGACAATTGTGTATTGTCACAGCGCTGAGATCCACTCTGAGGAAAGGAGACCATAATAAGTGAGTGTGTGTGTGTGTGTGTGTGTGTGTGTGTGTGTGTGTGTGTGTGTGTGTGTGTGAGGGCATCAGATATGCAGATGGCTCAAGACACATGCTGTAAAAAAACACTTTGCTTTATATTTCTCCACCATGTCAAATTACATTTAATTCAGCAGGGTGAACAGAGACAGAGAGATTAAAAGACCATCATATTGGTGATCGTGTGCCAAAAGCAACGAGCCAAAATCTATCCTGCAGCCGAAAAGTCCTTGACACTGAACTAAATATTAAGCACAGCATCCATAAACAAATCTAATTTAACTGGAAGAAAATAAAAATAAAAACAATTAGGCAATTCACAGCCTGCACAATGAGCCTACACACTTCATATTTATTAATAAACTCTTACACACTCTGGCATCTTCAAAAATCTGATATTGGATTGTTCTGTACGACAGAAATGAACCATTAAAACCTTGTTATACACACACACACACACAGCCTAAACATTTGAAATGATTCATATTAATTCAGCTCATCTAAAACTGATGCATAAATCTTTAATCCGTTCACTCAACAGCACATCGTAATGTTTTCAGAACACAGTTATTGCTATACTTTTTATATTATAGGACTGAAATGACTACTTTCATCAAAAAGAATCCATTAATCAATAATAAATTAATAAATGCACCAACAACCTGTGGAATTAAAGCTCTTGGATACATGCAACTTTACGCATCAATGCATTCATGCCCAAACACACATCTATGAGGACGCATCCATCACGTATTGATGACTGTATTGACTTGTTACCTGTGTGACAGATGAGCCACAGCTGTGCGATGAACAGATGTGATTTGGCTGTGATCAGACGCATCATCTTCAGACTCGAGTTAAATGAAGAGTGAACGCTGGTCTATTGATAACGCAATAACAGCTATTGCAGTGATGTTACACTGGATCCATGTCAGCGTTGCTCGTATCCCGTTCGTCTTTCCCACGCTAGAGCTTCATTCACTGTATGATCATAGCGCGCGAGAGGAGAGACGCTGCGTTTACGCGCCGCCCACAGCCTCGACAGTCTCGCGCATAATCAATCGAAGGTTTACGGTAAGACTAACTGGACGTGCATGGTCAAGAAACAGTGCTAGTGACACGCAACATTGTATTAAATGTAAAGTTCACCGACCTTTTATAATGCGCAGAGAGCTTTATGCGATTTAAACAACATGCAATGTGTTTGTTGGTTTATGTATGTGCATGCATTACATTATAAATGATTAGAAAGGACTTTTATGCTGAAAGCTGCCTGTTGACATATTTGGACTGTTTTGAACAAAAGAAAATCAAGACGGAATGGGTTATTCATGTTATGCTGTAGGCCTACTATTTAATGTCTTAATATAAATATTAATTCAATATTAGGCTACTTTGAAAGTCAATCAATTTTCTTTTAAAGTGAACATTGAATTCTTTTTAATTCATTGCACTTTGGTTTAAGTAGATGTTACTATTTTTACAATGTCCCCCCAGGTGCTGCACTAACCTCTAATATAAAACTGGTAATTTATGCAGAAATACTCCATGCTCCAGTTAAATGTTTTTTAGAAAACATAATAAATTTGTGATAATTTGCTGACCAATTCATTGCTGTTTCCAGTGTTCGCAATTTCAAAATTATCAAAGTTAATGCATTCATTTTTTTTTTATTAAAGAGTATAAAAATAACTGTATAACAAGAATGCCCTCAATGCACCCAATTCAGAATCTAAGGATGGATCAACATACATTTACATTTACACACAATTGCTCGATTCAGGGCTTACATTGTCTCTGTATCACAAAAATGATTGATTCTTACACTCTGAAAAGCATTTGGTTACATCTTGTGCCTGTTCTAAATCTCACAGAATCACACTGTTTCTGCACTCCCTGTTGTTATCCTTTCTGCAAAATTTGCATAATTTATTCAGGGCACCTACTTCACTTGCTGGACGGCTTTTATAAGGGCGAGCTTGATACAGCTCCTTCAGCATTCAGAGAAGAGCATTGTACACGTCTACACCGCTCAGTTTAGACTCAACAAAACCTGTTGATGACGTGCTAGAAACACGCTTCCCGTGGGATGGTCGAAATATGCACCTTTGCAATCATTTCAATTACAAAGAGATTGTTTTCGATTATGTCAACAATGCTGCGTTGTTTTTGACTGGTAAACAGTGCACCTCCTTTATTCTTCAATGCTCTGCCATTCAGGGGTCTTAAGAAAAACAGTGGCCCTGTCCCTGATGGAGATCCAGGTCTCATCTTTTCAGAAAAAGGAGCAGCATTGTTAATTGGGAACGTTTGGATGACAATAATACACTGGGAGGTGGACAAAAGCCACCAAAAGAGAGACTGTGTGAAAGAAGGAGAGAGTTAGGGGTCACACTGAGGCAAACACGGCACTGGGGATTGTATCGGTCGGTCGTAAAAGTGAAGAGGAAGAAGGCGTGTTGAGATTTCAGCCAATCACGACGTCCAGATTAGTTCCACTGACTCGAAACGCCCAGACAACTTTGAATCAATAGCATCTTTAGTTTCTGTCAGATGCGTCTAGAATCCATGATCTGCTTAGTGAAAGAGGCAGATCGGTTTACAACTGAAGGTGCCGTAAGTGGCGTAACAACAACCTCACAGGGTCCTCCCTTCACACATGAGGATTGAATTTCTCTAGATAAGCATCTCCGCTATGAGAGAAAGAGCCGCTCATTCGCATCACGTGACCTCGGGCTTCTTCTGCCTTAGTTGGGTTTTTGCGTTTCTCTGTACGGTTGCACTGGCTGGATCACACAGATGATTTGTCCACGGTTGGATGTGGAGACTGATATCAACAATATCGACAACCAGCTGTGCTGCTCTAGCTATATTCCTGGCACCCTGCCACGCGCTGCAAATCAATGCAGATCTCACTACAGGGGGCGTTCGAAATCCCCCTGCTTATTTATCTGCGGGGGGTTCAATATCATATTATGATCAGACTTCTCAGTTTTGCATTTTACAACCATAAAAATCACTGAAAAATGGCAAGATTTAGAATGTTGTTGTTACATTTCAACTTGTCTTGGTGGTTACTAGGGTGCTTTTGGTGGTTGCTAAGTGGTTACTAGGGTGTATTTTGTGGTTTCTAAATATTGCTAGGTGGTCACTAGGGTGGTTGCTAGGTGGTTACTAGTTTGTATTCGTGTTTGCGAAGGCATTACTTGGTGGTTATCAGGGTGTTTTTGTGGTTGCTAGGGCATTTATAAGTGGTTACTAGGGTGCTTTGTGGTTGCTAAGACATTAAAAGGTGGTTGTCACCTATATTGAGGGGCTTGAGAGTGCTTTGTGGTTGTGGTGTGTTTACTGAGGTGCATTAGTGGTTGCTAAGGCATCACAAGCTGACTACCAGGATGCTTTAGTAGGTTGCTAGGGTGTTGCTATGTGGTCACCAGGGTGCTTTGTCATTACTAAGGTGTTTTGGCCGATACTAAGGCACTACTAAATGGTTGCCAGGATGCTTTTTAGGGAGTTGCTTGGTGGATCCTAGGGTGTATTGATTGATATGCATTACTAAGTAGGGTGCTTTGTGGTTGCTGTGTGTTCACTGGGGTGTTTTGGTGGTTGCTAAGGCATTTCTAAGTGGTTACTATGGTGATTGCTATAGGGTGTTGTGGTCTATGGGATTTTTCACAAGTTTCAACATCCACAAGGCAAGAATCATAAAGTCTGATTGCTTAGACAGGAATAGCACTTTTCTCCTTAATAAGATGAATGGTTTGTGCACTTTTTCCAACCAATGCACGAACATAAAACCAGAAAACACTGGACAAATAACACCATTCCTGCACTCTATATACACTAGTGAGTCCTGTGAAGGTTTATTCTCCAGGAACAGTGTGTTGATGAGCATCCCTGGGGTGTGATGAAAGCCATACAGCTCACTCCATCCCTTCACAACACAACATGGCATTGAAATAAGTCTCTGAAATGTGACATCAGGGCTCCTTGAGTCCAAGAGAGAGAGAGGGGCCCAAAGGAAGAGCGCTGGGGGCTTTTCATCTGAACACAGACCACTGTCTCTCTATCCCCTTCAGAGAGATGAAAAATCACACATGCACACATGCTGAAAAGAGGACAGCGGTGTGTGACTTCTAATCGCACAAGAAAAGAAACACACACACAAAAAAGCTCCAACACCAGTTGAATAACTCGTAATTACATTTGAGGAACACTCTAGAGAACAGTAGGTGAAGGTAAAAATGGAAAAAACAAAACAAAAAAACAAGCAGTGTATATTTTTAATGTTTTGTCTATATAATTATATTGGCTTGACTATCTATCAAATCTCAAAACCACTCAGAACTTCCAAAGTATTTATACTTTTAACTTTCACAGTGTTCCATGTAAACATTTGAAGTTTGCGGTTTTAGTTTGCCTTGGAGCACAAATGATGCACAGATGCACTTATGTTAATGGATTTGATGTGCTTTTTCTTGTTGGCATGCCAGTGGCGTGAAGGATTAATCTGTTATTAATGAATGTTTTGACATGTAATACAGTAAGTAATGAGATCTACAGCTGTGATCCTCGCGAGCTGCGGCGTTTTTCATTGCAAGCTGCAAGTCATTTATCATGCTTTTACGCTGTCCTGACTTGGGTCTTTATTGAATGCTAATTAGACGATTTGGTTCGACGGTCCCCATGGTGTGCTTATTAAAACTATTAAAACACTGCAGATTACTGAAATCACTTTGATCGCTAATAGGTGCTGAAACTCGGAAGCATGACAGCAACTTATGCCACATCTCAGTTCCTTAGCAACTGAGAGAGAAAAGAGACAGAGAAGAAATCAAACAGCCCAGCGCTGACCCATAATCACACACGACTAACAATCGAGAACACAGACCGAGATGAAAGAATCAGCACTTCAAAGTTAACAAAAAGTGGAACACGCAAACATGTCCTTGTAAAAAAATATGAAAGCCCATTTCTGACACAAAAGAAGAAGAAAAGAGCTTTGGTAAATCTTCATTTAATATATTAAGTTGAAATTATGAGATAAAAAGTTGAAATTATGACATACTAAGTCATAATTATGAGATACTGGCCTGGTTTCACAGACAGGGCTTAGATTAAGCCAGGATAAGTTCAATTAGGACATTTATAGCTTTAATAAACGTACTTTATCAAAAAAAAAAAAAAAAAAACATTACTGGTGCATCTTGAGACAAAACAATGGCTCTGACATATTTTAAGATCAGTGCAGGTTGCTTTCCGTTAAAACAGCTCAAACGTGCATTTTAGTCTGTCTAGATTTAGACTTGTCAATTATGATTTTTTTGAAAGCATCATTTATTTTCTTATGTGGTTGAAATGGGCTTTCACACAAATCAGATCAGATCACATTTCATTTTCATCTTTCTGAATGGGATCTTAAGGTCTGTTGTTAATGAGTAATTATGGAGGGGGGTTGGGAACTATTTTTTCAATCGTTCAGAGTTTATCTTAGGCCTCAAATGTTTGTGCTCTTCTTTCTCTTTAACATTCAGTACTGAACAATGGACACTCTCTGTCCCTACAAAAGAGCTCACTTTCAATAGCATTCCCACACACAATTAATTCCTGTTTGTTAATGGCCACGATGAGTCACTGGGATCAGGAGCACGAGGACTTCAAAACATGCATGGGGAGAAACTTCTGAATAAAGCAGCAAAAAGGATTTTCTTTCTTAGTGCTGATTTATGACAGAATGGGATGGGATCGAATTGAAGACATGAAAAACTGAAAAGCCTCAGAAGCTTTTTGCTAAATTTTATTTGACAGTTTCTGAGTTTTAACTGCTGCAAAACATATTGTGGCATCACTTTTTGGAGCCAGTAATGAGGGCCAACATTATGGGCAAATGTCTGTTAAGAGGAAATGCATTTATACATTAGAAGTGGGATTAAAATGTTTTAAGTGCACCATCTAGCTGTCACTGACAGAACTACATTTTACGCAATGGCTTGGCTTGAGTCATCAGAAGGCGACATGTTTAGTGTTGTTGAGTCGCATTACTCCCTCAACGCGTCCTTGGGACTCTCTGCACTTCGGAATATGACTGATTAACACTTTTATTAGGTTAATAATAATTACAGAAAGCTTTTGAAGTGATGAATCGTATTTGGTAAGCGGTTATTCTTTCTTTACCGACCTGGACTAATTATCTCTCATTTGTGTTCTCTGGTAAAAACATACTGTCTGTATGACAGTTCACTGATGGTTAAACATGTCCTCAATATTAATGACATTTGTTTGCAACGTTTATATTGAACAATAAGAGTGTTAAAAGTTGTTGACAAACCTGCAGAATGACTGAGGAGAGATGAGCGCTCCTAACGCCAGTGAACGCAAGGCCTGCTGGAGCGCGAGAGATGAGCTCTGGAAGTGTCTAGATGCCCACCGAGACAGCTCATCTGCCTGTGAGAAACACCAGCTGGAGTTTGAAGACAAGTGTCCTGCCCAGTGGGTCTGTCCATAGTACTGATTCAATAGTTCTGAGTGCTGAAACATACCAATCTCTATGACACCTGCGTTTAATTTGAATTGCAGCAGCTGTCACGAATGTTGAGATTTTTTGAATGAAACTAAAACATTTTATTTTTACATAGCCTACCACGTGTACATATAAAGGCAATTGCATTGTTATGGCATACAGCATTTAGTAATAAGTACACTAATATTTCCCTCTCAATGTAGCCACGCTTGTGAAAAAGAAGTGCACACTGTAGCATACCTTTTCGGAAACAATATACTTGATTATATTCTTTATTGCAAACGTATAAATGTAATACTTTTGAAGTAGTTAGTTTGCCCAAAAATGAAAATTCTGTCATTAATTACTTACCTTCATTCCAAACCCGTTTAATGAAATCAGAGATTTCTGTCCCTCCGTTGACAGATACGCAACTGCCACTTTCAAGCTTCAAAAAGTTCATAAAGATAACGTAAAACTAATCCATATTAATTTAGCGGTTTAGTCCAAATTTTCTGAAGAGACTCGATTGCTTTATATGATGAACAGGTTTAATTTAGGCTCTTATTCACATATAAACATTGATCAGCAAACATAAACAGAAGCTCAAACGAACCTGCTTGATGCACGAGAACAAACCTTATTGGTCCTTGCTGAAGCTCAAACGTGCTGCGTAACACGAGAATGAACCTCATTGGTTCTTGAACATCAAGTGAACATGCTTGAGCTTGTTTACCACAACTGATGTGTTCATCTAAATGCAATCTCTTCATCATATAAAGCAGTCGAGTCTCTTCAGTAAATTTGGACTAAACCGCTTAATTCATATGGATTAGTTTTATGACCTCTTTATGAAGTTTCTGATGTGTCTAAGTGGTAGTTGCGTAGCTGTCAATGGAGAGACAGAAAGCTCTCAGTTTTCATCAAAAAGATCTTCATTTGTTTTCCGAAGATGAACAAGTCTTACGGATTTGGAATGACATGAGGCGAGTAATTAATGACTGTACATCTGTCAACAATTCTAATTATGAAGTTAAAGTTAAAATATATGTAATATCAAATGACACACTGGTTAAAATTATGATCAAGTACATGTGCTTTAGTATGTTAGTCAACACATTAAAGTAAGTGTACTTTAAAACATAACAAAAAATTATTAAAACAATGATTTAAAGTAAAACTTTTCATTTGATATTATTACAAATACTTAAGTGTCTTAAGAAACACTTGTGAAAATATACTCTTTAAGTACACTTAAGTAACCTTTTATTTCATTAATATTATTACAGTTTTTAGAAATATCTACTTTTAGGATTTGAAGTACACTACAAGTGCACATTCAATACAATTAAGCACACTTCTTTTTCACAAGGGCAAGTGTCTTCTGTTGACTTTCACAATGCACGTACATGAACTGATTGTTGTTATTCAACGGCAGGTGAAGTATTTCGTCAAACGGAGGGACTTCTTGAAGTATAAGGAGAAAATACAAAATGAGGGCTATGAACCATCTGAAGGAGCATCAAAATTATAGCCAGCAATGGTGCGCATCGGAGGGAATAATAACACTGGACTCTGACAATGGTGGTGATGCACTAAAAGTTTTAGTAGTCCTAGCCTATATAAAACATTGTGTTTTTGTCTTATTTATCATCATTTATCTCAATGAGTCTGTGCTGTACGGAGCTTCAATGTAATGCCTGAGATGCAAAATAAATAAATGAACCAAAAATACAGTGTTTTATTATGTTTCAGAGATCACAGAACATATTACAACGATTTGCTGGTGACTAAGCAAACAATGGGTGGCCGACAATAACAAAATGTTTGTTTCCTGTATGTACAACGGTTAAAGGGATAGTTCACCCAAAAATTAAACTTCTTTCATCATTTACTCACCCTCAAGTCGTATTAAACCTGTATGAATTTCTTTGTTCTGTTGAACACAAAATATATTTTGAAGAATGTTGGTAAGCAGACAGTTGCTGGTCCCCATTGACTTCCATAGAAAAAAATACTATGGAAGTCAATGGGGACCAGAAGCTGTTTGGTTACCAAAATTCTTCAAAATATCTTCTTTTAGTTTCGACATTTTAGACCAGCTTGAGGGTGAGTAAATGATGACAAAATCTTCATTTCTGGGTGAACTATACCTTTAATGGCCACCTTCAAAAAGCACAGAGGTTTATTGAATAACAAAGGATTTGAAATAATCTTCTGTAACCTGACCACATATAAGCTATGTAACATTTTGGCAAGAGCATTTTAGATACTATGTTTGATTTCAGCAGCGACTTCAACTGCAAATAGGCCTGATGCAAAATCTCCCTCAAACCTCTCAAGTAAATAATGCAAATGTAACACAACATTTGTTAGACATCAGAAAATAAAGCATACAGACATGTTACATTCAGTGGCACACACAAGCATTGCTGATTGTGTTTTGTAGGCACATGAACTTGTGCATTCAGCTGTAAAGATGTTAATCTACGCCTAATACTTTAAGGCAACATTGATATAGAAGTGTAAGAATAGTTTCCCCCGTTTGTGCCGTTCATTCAGTCACAGTGAGCAGTTCTGCATCCTCCGACGGAGGTGTCACGGCTACTCTCTTACTCCATGGACGGGGGGAAAAATAAGGCCTTAATCACATTTATATGCCTCCTTCAGTGTATATCCAGTGTCCTCAGTCCCTACGTGTCAAACACTCACGCCTGTGCCGCCCACCTCCAGCTACAAGCTGCCCGTGACGTTACGCATCACCGCCCAGGTGGGGAACTCGCTCAGATGGAAGAGAGGCTCTCCCCACGTCATTATGGCCAACATGACCACAAAAACTCCAATCAGATTCACTCCGAACCCGGCCTTGACCTGCGAATCACAAGGAGAAAACAACTTTTGTCAGTATATGAGCTTCCATTAGGGGAACATGCCCATTGTCCCATTTATTTAGGCAAAAACAAATAGTCAATAATACTGTAAATGAGCCGTTTGTTGTCCCTCCCACACTGAATTGATTTATATGTCCATAGTATTAGTAAGTGGTGTTTCTTTCTACAAAATAGTTGCTATTTGTGTTCTGTGGTTCAGTGGCCAAAAGTATCGCCCGGCTTAGGAAAATTGATATCATCCTTTATTCAAATATTATTAGAAATGTGTTAAAGATTTTGTGAGCAAATCGCATAGTTGTGCTTGCAGTCAACTGTTTTATTTATGATTACGCAATGAACCTGCTGTAATTCAAAGAAATGATGAACACATGCAACAACAAAAAAACAAGAGAGAACCAACACAATATTAATAACTGACCATGAAGCCTGTAGCTGTAGTTGTTTATTTTTATATAATATATAATATAAATGATTCATTTATATATTTTCAGTTAAGAATTTTTAAAGCTATTGTCTCATCTTTTTTATCCCTTTTTATTCTTATTTAGATTTGCTATATTAATCAGTAGGGGACCATCTTAAAATGTCATGCTAAAATTGCAATCCCTGTTTACCATCAGCCCTGTTATTTTTCTGAAGCCATCATTTTATCCTAAAATATATTGAAATGTTAAATAACTTTGCTTTATATGGCACAATTCAACTTATCAACACTTAACACAGTATTTGTCTGACAGATTGTTTAAAATGCACTCTTTGAAAACGGCACCTGTTCCACCGAATGGCCCTCAGTTTGTGGGCACTTTATAGACGGGCTTATATGAAAAACAAATGATTAGTGGCCTTTCGACATCGCGTTCCTGGCACAGCTGTGAGACGTAACAGAGGTGATATAACAGGATAATGTTGTTTCATACCATGTCGCTGATCTGCACGTGTCCATAACTGAACACAATGGCGTTCGGCGGGTTTCCAACAGGCAGCATGACGCCGAAGGACACGCACATGGTGGCAGGGATGAGTGTGTGTAGAGGGTTGATCTGCAGTGTCTCTGACTGTGAGGGGACAGGAGACACAGGGTCATTCATTAGGGTCATTCGAGACAGAACACCACTGTGAAACAATACGCTTTCATGCAGATTGATTTGTTTGTGTGAGACTGGTCTTTTAGGCGTGTTCTGACCAAGGCGGAGAGGATGGGCAGAAACACTGTGAGCGTGGCGGGGTTGCTGGCGAACTCAGTGACGGCGGACACGAGTAGACACGCTAGCAGCGTGACTGCCCAGGGAGGAAGACCACTCATTGGCTCCAGCTGCCGACCAATCCACATGGAGAGCCCAGACACCTGCCCGAGAGAAGTCGCATGGTTCATTTACAAGTCGAGTTAATGTATAAGGCATGTTTGTTTCTAGAAAAGATTCTGTCTGTCGTCACAAAGCACTTCTCTAACAAAATACTATAATGTGTAAAATTATGATTTAATACAATATTCTTCATTTTTAGATGTGATTTTAAGGGAAATGCTGGTACTTAGTATTTTTACTCTTAGGAGACACTTTTATCCAAATCAACATGGAATCTTAAATATAAAAATAATTTATATAACATATTATATATTGTTGATTAAAATATAGCCTATTAATATAAGATTATTTGGACTTTTAGTTGACAATTTTATCCAGTGCAACTGTGTTAGTTAATCTTGCAAAGAAATGTTTTACACTGTTCATATTACAATGTAATTTAACGTAATGTAATAAAATAAAAAACATATATTTTTGGGGGTCATATTATACTGTAATATTACAACAAAATAACATAAATAATGTAATATTAAAGTACATTTTAAAACTTTAAAAAATGTATATGTTTCATTAAAGAATACAGTAATAAAACAGTGACGTAAAATTCAATTATAAAAATGATATAAAATAAAATACTGATGATAATAATAAAATAATAATTATATAATATAAAAGAACATTGCATTGTCACATTCTTTTGTATTGATCATATTCTTTTTGCATTACAGTATAGAAACTCAGAAAGTCCCCTGAAATACAGCCTTTCAGACACGCTCACCTTGCATCCGGCAGCCAGTGCATATCCTCCTCCAACCAGAATAACAATTTCCCACGGCATCAGTCTCTGGAAGTCTTTCCATGTGATCATCGGGGCCAGAGGGTCCTCTTCCTCTTCATCGTCATCATCATCACCATCATCTGCACAGATAACAGGGACAAGAGCACTTAGCAAACCCGGCCAACAGGGTGCGCCGTCGAGAACATTCACCTTTGCTCTGATGTCCTCAAGCTGAATGAACTGGTTGTACAACTAGACCCTGGTGGTGTGTATTACAGCATCAGCTTGCTGAGCGAGTACTCGCGGCTACATTCAAGTGTGGAGCGCTCCTGCTGAGGGCAGCGTGGGATCTGACCTTTGCTCTCGCTGGAGAATGCAGATGGCCAAGGCTTTCGAGCAGGGATGAGGAAGAGGAGGAAGCCGAGCAACACCGACACCGTGGCATCAGTCCTGTAGCCCTTCCTGAGAAATACAGGACACTTAGTGAATTTAGAGGCTTTAGTTAGCATCAAAGCAATAAAATGGTTCTTCTAGAAAAAGAAATGGAAATCAATTTCTTGACAGTATATGTCCTCATACTTCTCAAAAAGTGATGTCCAGCCGGGGACAAATCCTGGCTCCCTGGTGAACCAAAGTACGGTCATCAGAACAAAAAAGATGCCTGTCACGACTTCAGGATAGCTGTGGATCAGGAGAAAAAACTGTTTATTAGTCACAACATCAATATCAAGTCTTTTTGAAATCAGAAGATCTATAAAAGTTTAGATCCTTTATCTATCTATCTATCTATCTATCTATCTATCTATCTATCTATCTATCTATCTATCTATCTATCTATCTATCTATCTATCTATCTATCTATCTATCTATCTATCTATCTATCTATCTATCTATCTATCTATCTATCTATATATCTATCTATCTATCTATCTATCTATCTATCTATCTATCTATCTATCTGTCTGTCTGTCTAAAGTACACAAAAAAATTGGTGTAGGATTTACTTTTAAACCATTTTCACTCAGAAATTGCTAGTAAATTTGACAAATAATTACAACAAAATTGTATTTTCTTGTAAAACACTCTTCCGAAAAAATATTTTTTTGACAGTGTACCTAATGGGGCCGAGTTTCTGGTACTCCTCATGAATGCGTTTCTCGGAGAGGATCTCTCGCCTGGTTTTGCGTTTCTTGCTGAGAGAGCAAGTCTCTCTGAAACTGTGAAGAGATAACAGCTTCTGAGTTCAGCAAGTTTCACAAAATAATTTCAAAATAATAATAAAACAAGTCTCTCTTCTATTCTTACTTGCATCCCAGGAATAAAAAGTGCAGCCAGATCCAGGTGAGTATCAGCATGATCAAAGCGATCGGCAAACTGAAGATGAACCAGGTGCCAAAGTTGATGACCTTTGCTTCTGGGTAACGACTGAAAAAGACATTTTATAACAAAGATTAGTGTTGCAAATACATAATAACTACTATTAAAAAAAAAAGTAGTTTAAACATAAAGTGTTCGTGCTGCCTTAAATTTTAAGTTTAGTCAACTTTCAATGTGAAGTTGTATTAACTGACAACTTGGATATTTGAGTTATCTGAAGTCAAAATCTAACGCAAAATTTTAAGTTGTGATAGCTAATTGCAACAAACAGTGTTGATATAATTAAAATGATCATTATATTATCACTACATACATCTAATGTAAGTCTTATTGAGAACAGAGTGCACATTTTTCCAAAGAAAATTCCCCTGCGTTCGGGGGTCAAATGTCTTCATTCCAATGTGGAAGAAAAGGACAAGGTTCTGTTTACACAGCATTTGAAATCCTCAAGAAGATACTGAGAGCCAATCAATGTGGTGCAAGATATTTAGCTGCCCCACTTTAGGCCAATTAGCACTTTACATTGATTATTTCTGACAAAATGTCAAGTCAGCGATAACAATTCTCCAGTGAACGCAGATTATATCAGAACTTGTGATAGTTACTGTCAATATGGCAATTTGCCTGAAAAGAGCGTCAATACAAACCCCACTGACCCGCTAAAGGCCCTCTTTTCACTCTCATTTACAGTAGTGGCCGAAAGTGATGTCCAGCCTATAGGAAAATCGACATCTTTACCTTTAGTCGTGCTTGGAGTCAATTGTTTTATTTGTGATAATGCAATGAAACATTACAAATTGTCAGGACATCATTTTTGGCCAGGCAGTCATACAAAGAAATTGTGCACACGTGAAAGAACCGATGAAATATTAATAACTGATTATGCTGTAGTCAATGTATGCTTATCCCTGTGAGCTTTTTGTTTTGCATAGTTAAATAAAACCTGTAGCTGTAGTTTGCCTTTTTGTGCCAAATAATTGTGTCATATAATAATACCTTAACAAAGTATAGTGTTCTGTTCCTCGTATCTAAAATATTTTCCTCATATTTTGATGGTTTAATCAAGCTTATAGGGTCATATCCCTTCCGAACATCACTTTTGGCCATTACTGTATATTTTTACATCAGCAACAGACTTCCTGGGGGAAAAAACAGGTTAGAATATAAAGTCACCTTTGCCCAAGAAATGTTGCACAAGGAAAGGGTTATTTTTCTCTGCTTAGCGTCTTTACAATGTGCAGGAAATGAGATTGAGCGGATTGAATTAGGTGCTTAAACAAATCCCAGCAGTGCCCAACGTTTTGTGAATGTGCCTTTTTCCGAATGGATCGGGCACAGTGATAACATACTTGTTGAATTGTTCGGCAAAGATGAGGTTGGTGGACGTGCCGGTAATGGTGATGAGACCGCCGATGGTGGCGGCGTACGTGATGCTCAGAGTCAGGCACTTGCAGATCATGTGGTCTCTCTTGGTGGGGTACAGCGAATCCCTTCGGATTTTGGGTTTCTTTGGCACGGGAATGCTAATTGGAGCCTGTTTAGGAACAATTAGGATCATTTTAGAAATGTAAGAAGCAGATCCTGCCGTTATTGTGAGCTAGGCGAAGGTCTCACCTCTGGCAGATATCCATTTGATTCTTTAGCATAGCCGAAACCAGGCCTAAATGTTAGACCATTCAACTCCTACAGTACGAAAAAACACATTTCAAAAATCTATTCTTAATCAATAACTTAATTTTAAGTTAACAAAAACAATGCTAGATAATCCTGAGTTAAGACTTTATTGAGACAATGTATATAGGCTACTTTGAATATAAAATAATTTTTGAGTGATTTAATACTTTAAACCTTGTTTAACATTGAAATTTAAAAAAATAACAAATGTGATTTAGAAATAAAACTTTTTAGAAAAATAGCTAAAATACATTACATTTAATGACTGTGAATCTGGCATGTTCACATTCACATCAATTATAATTACAAAAAATTGTGAAATTAATACGGTATTTATTTACTTATTAGGTTTTTTTCCTCAATAGTTTTAAATAACCCCACTAAATTCACCCTTTTATTTCCTATTTTCTTTTTGCTTTCTGACAGACATATTTTTCCAAATTTGATGGTCATTTTAATGGGCGCGCTTGAGTAGCATTTTGGATAAAATAACAGATTTAATCTTACCTCACTCAGCATACAGACTTCATGTTTTTCACTGCAATCAAAAAGAAAATACAAAGAATAAGCTTAAGTTTAATACAGGTGGAGTTTAATACAGTTTCGAGATATTGTCTTACTTGTCTTTGCATTCCAGCAGCTGAAGGTGATTATTGCTTGATTTTTGGTTTTCCTCTTTGTCTGTGAAAGAACAGAAGAATTCAATTAAAAAAAAAATATGTCAAAAGTTATAAAAACCATAATACATGCTTAACCACCATGCACGTATTCTCAGATTGCCTCTTTGTCTCACCGCTCTCCTCGTCCTGTGTATCTACGGTCGCCGAGTCATCGATGGTGTCGGCGATCCCTGTGCAGATCAGTTGCTGTAGAACAGCTTCAGCGATCGGCATCACCATGGCCGTGGTGGACGTGTTGCTCAGCCACATGGAGAGAAAAACCGTGCAGCACATGAACCCCAACACCAACCTACAACACAATGAGCGTAGAGAACATATGCAGGTCACAGAGTCAGTTTCTAACAGTAAGTGCATGTTAAAGGTGCTCAAATACTTACATGCCAGGTTTGGCCCCAGCGATCATGACCATCCGGAGGGCGATGCGTTTATGCAGGTTCCACTTCTCGATGGATGCGGCCAAACATATGACCCCCATAAGCAACAGGGTAGTGTCCTTAAAATATTCAGAGGCCACCTGCGTACACACACACACACACACAGAGAGAGAGAGATTTAAAGAGGACCTATTATGCTTTTTTACATGTTCAACACGTGTGTAATATTGCTGTTTGAGCATGAAAAAGGTCTGCAAAGTTCCAAAGCACAAAGTCCCTCCAATGGCAGTTCTTCACTGTATCAGTGCGCACTGTTTCTGAACTCCCTGAAACGCCTCCATCGTAGTCTTGAGTTTTCTTCCGGAAACGAGCACGTCACAATATTCCTCATTTAAATAATTCCCGCTCAAGGCATACGCAGAATAAAGGTGCAAGGCCTGGTTGAGTTAGTTAGTAGTGTGTTGAAACTCACTGTTATGGTAAGGGGCGGGACATTTTCTCCAAACACACTCAAAGTGGTTGACCAATCACAGCGCACTGGTCCAGCCAACCAATCAGATCACATTGCGCCTTTTGTAAGACTTAATGCATCGTATGGATCGTTGTTGAAACTGACTAGCTGATCATGACTGTTTCCCGAAACCGGACGCTCCTGTTGTTTTTATATATACGTACGTATATATATATATTTAAAAGATATAGAATGTACTGAATGTTAGCTTGCTTATTGTGCCAAAAAAGCATGATCTATTTAAGTCCATATGTCATACTAACAAGAAACTATGACTCTAACCACAGTTCGAGACCTGCAGCTTCAATCACATAAGTTCCAAGACTAAGAAGAGAGTTGCTGCAATAATGCCTAACATGTGAAAAATAAGGTGTTTTTTTAACATTATTCTAGTAGACCCCAAAAACAAAATCAAGACTTTGTAAAGGGCATAACCAAACCTCTTTAATTATATTTCTTACAAGAATGAATACATTTTCAGTATGACAGAAGATTCGGTGTGAATGTTGTTTATGGAAACTGAGCTTTTACTGCCATCCCTTCTGACTTATTTTTGACCCATGCGCACCATATAAAGCCTTTACTAGCAAATCTGAATTTTCAGCATCATTACGCCAGTCTTCAGTGTCACATGATCCTTCAGAAATCATTCTAATATGCTGATTTGCTGCTCAATAAACATTTCTTGAAAGTATTAAAAATATGAATTATGTGTAAACTTTTGAAGGGTAGTAGTCCAACATCAGACAACCCGAAATCTTTGCAGTCAGCAGACGAGAACGAAAAAGATTGCGTAAAAAAGGGGAATATTAACAAACATGATTACAAGTATTTAAGATAACAGGTTGCTTTGTCAAGTTTGCCAATGGGATTTAGTCACATGATGCAGCATTTTGTTTTACATAATCTCTTGGCAGTTTATTGTGGACACGATAAGAGGAACACAAATGAATGATCAGCAACTCTGAGAGCCGTCAAACTCTTGTGCTTGATGAAACAAAAACACTATGACATTTTTCACTCATAAAACATCACCTATAGAAGCCTTGTACCCTGCACCCTTGGAAGAAAAGATACAGAACCTTCAAGAGTTCTGTCAGGCGCTTCATTTATAGAGCTATTTAAAGTGTTCCATCATGGGATCCTTTTATGTATTTAGTTTTAATTACTTACTTTTGTTTGAATTTTTTATTTGAATTTTGATTACATTTTAGCTCGTAAACATACTTTATCACCAGGAAAAATGTATATAACCCATTAAACATGAAAGTATTATGCAATTATTTAAGACATTTCATTTGTGGCATAAAGAGTTGAGTCAAGAACCCTAGAGATCTATATAGAACCCCATTGAACCTTTTTTCTAAGAATGTGACAGAGAGGCTCAAATGGTCATAAGAGATGTGATGGATATAACCAGGTCAGGCATTTCCCCAAGAAAATGGGTTGTATATTACATCAACTAGCTCTGCAAGAAATGCAAAGTCCTGCTATTTAAGTATGTTAAATATTCAGTACAAAACATACTATACTGAATATGAGAGAGGGCCCAGTAAAAACATCCTACCTCACTGGATTTTAGGACCCCAAACAGCGGGTACAGGAAGGCTGGCACCAGTGCAGCGGCTCCCAGCGGCACAGCTTCAGATACCCAATATACCGCTGTCACAATCAGGACATAAGCACACGATGATTCCTGCAAAAGAGACCAAACAGGGATCACATCATCATTAAGAATATGTAATGTGATCTAAACACTGATTTGCTTCTGGGTGGAATTTTGGCAATGTCAATGTATTTGGTCTTGTCGGATTAGATCTGCTACACTGATGCTGCTGCAGAGCAAGTATGGACATGTTACTGCTAATATACACAGACTGTGAGCATGTAAGATATGCTGCTGTTGCATAAATATACATAAATCCCATAGCAGATCTAGGCAGGTGGAGCTGGGGGAGGTGGAGGGTTTCTGAGGAGCTCTGATAGTGCGCTGCAGGACTAGCTTACAGCAAACACTGAACCAGACTATTTAATATAACAAATATGAAATAGCAAGATCTATTTTGTGGGAATCAATCATATTTATGCAGTTGACAAGTGATTTTAAATATGACAAAGAGCTGATTACATGCACAGATCTACATATATAAACAGGAGAGAGGATTTGCACGTACCAGCCGCCCCTAAAATGCAGGAATAAACCAGTTCTCCAACCAAATTATGCTTTAATTACAAGCAAAACAGCAGGAAAGCATGTGTGTAAGTATGCAAATCAGACCAAAAATCCAAATCCGGTTTTCTCTGCCAAATATTTGGACCTGGGTGCAAAGCATTTCACGTGGCTCCACCGAACAACAAATAATTAGTCAAATACAGAGTCTGTGTAAAGTCTGCATGCAGAGCTTAAGCTGACAGAGCACTTGTCAGGTGACTCATATATTTCATAATTAATCAGTTTCATAACAGGCCAACACAAAGTTAATACACGCTCACACATTCCAGACACAATAAATACATTACGCTAATGATGAGGACTTAGAAAGACACTGATATGTGACCATTTTGTGATGATCAGCCAATGATCATGTCTACTGGCTTTCTTTTTTTAGCAAGAAATCTTTGAAGTTTATTTTATTTTGTTTATCAGCAATATCTGTGCATCTGATTTGCCTATTTAGTGTTGTTTCATTATATTTCATCTGTAACACTTCACAATAAGGTTCCATTGTTAACAATGAACGATACTTAAAATCACATCATTGCCGCATGGCACAAGCTGATTGGCTCTACTGATCCAGCAGCCAATCAGACTGCTTACTCAACAATTAAATAGTCTGGTTCAGTGTTTGCTGTAAGCTAGTCCTGCAGCGCGCTATAAGAGCTCCTCTGAAACCCTCCACCTCCCCCAGTTCCACCTGCCTATCTGGGATCTTATTATGTTACCATTTCATCAATCTCAAAACATCCATCATTAATCTATGGTTCACATTTTTGTAAGTATTAATTTAGCACGGGCACAATGGTTCATGGCTTGTACCTTATGGGACTCGGACCAGCAAACTTCTGGTTTCCATTAGCCACTAAACATCACACCATCACATTTTTGGCCTTTCTACTGTCCCTCAGCATTTCTGCCAAAGCCGATTATCACTCAGCGTGTGCCTTTGTTCATAAACTCCCAACTTTCTGCTTTCTGATTAGCTCCCAACACTGCAGTAGGACTTCCAGTTATGTGCCACACTAGCAGATTAAGCGTACATTGGCACATTGTTTTTGTTCTGCTATAATCTCATCATTGCTCAAGAAATCAGTCCATTCAGATTGAATTGATTTCTGGTAAAAGGTCTAATGGGGCACTGATGTGTCAGGCACTTACAGATGATAAAAAAACGGATAATTTCCTCTAATTAGCATGAATAGTGTATTCGCAGGATTACACACAAAGTCCATCTTTTCAACTTTTGTTGTTTTGTGGCAGAACACATTACATTCATTACACAATTGCTTTGTGTGAATAATTGCTTTCAGTCAGCGGGTGAGATGGGATTAGTGAACTATTGTGAACTGATCAAGCCATTATTTCTGACTCTTGATGAAAAGTGCTATCAGACAGAGATAAGCACACAAAACCTGAGCGAGTGATCTAATCTTAAAAAAATGTTTTGTAAAAAAAGCTGTCAAGGCAACAGATAATGATATTTCCTGATCTATGCGCTGTTTCCCTGTTTGTCTATATTGACTTTGTGTCTGATTAGAATCGGCTACTTCGACATCAAGATTTTAGGTTACATCTAATTACATCTAGCCTATGTATAAAACAAAGTGTATTTCTTAGATCCTGTCACTATTTATAACCATTTTCTGCCTTACTAATTTATTTTAAATGGCCATGCATGAATTGTGATAAATGATTTTAAGCATAGGCCTATACATTTTAATTAATATGACATCACAACCCGAACCTATAATTACACACACACACAATCTTGAATTGTATTGTCACACCACGCTACAAAAAAAAAATCAAAAAAATCTGGTAACGCATAAATGTAACGTGTAAACAATGCCTGAAATCTAAAAGTTGTAAAATGATAAATCTGAAAGTGGTTTATGCTCATAATCTCTAAAACCATTTTGCAAAATAATGACAATACAAATGCAGGACATATGAAATGCGCTAAAACGATAGTAATACTAATAGTAACAAATAGTAAGCTAATATTTGTAGGACTCAATATGGCAGGTCATGAGAGATTGCCTCTCTGCAGGCTTTGATGATTTTGGACTGAATCAAAGATTCCACATGCTACATAAACAAACAACATCTGTAAAAACGGCCGTTGTTTCAAACAAACAATTACCAAAAGAACAGCACACGACTTGAACCATCACGGCACTGAACGTCTGATTGCGCACCTGGAAAACTACCAACCAGGTGAGAGGTCGCCGCGCCACCTCGAGAAACCCTAAGGACCCCACATGAGACCATAATCTCATGTTTGATGCATTCATTGGTTTAGACTGTCTGTCTGCCTTTAAAACAGAATTATTTTTTAGTCTGACAAAATTTTCCATGCGTCTGCAAATATATGAAAAGGGTTCTGCGGAATAAAGTAATCTAAATCAACTAAATATCGCGTAAAAGTTTGAATGCTTAAACAAAATGCATGTTAAATGTATAATTTAGTGCAAATACCCAACGCGCATTAGCGCGTAAAAGCGCACGGACACCGCGCACTGCGCACGAGCTCATGTGATTGTAGAAATGGATGAAGATCTACTTACACTGCACGGATGGATGAGAGGCAGAGGCAGCAGGGATAAAGGAATCATGACCACGAGAATGAGTTTCCGAGCCGTCCATATTTTTTTGATTAAGTCCATTCTGGCGCCTTCCAGCCTCATGGGAAAACGCTTTGCTCAATTCAGCTCGCAGAAGTTCAGGGATCTTCAAGAAACACTTCACAAGTCACTTTACTCCTCTTTCAATTGTCACATAAATTATAATTGAGAAGTAGCTGTTGTCCGCGCAAATTGCTGTTCCTCCTTTTTCTTGCGGTTTACGCGCTCCGTGCCGCCTTAGAAAAGTTGGTCTAGTTGCATGGATTGTGCGCTTTGGTTCCTGTTTGAATGTGCCTGGTCATGTTGTCCTTCTAATCCATCTAAGAGTGATGTGCAGACCCTCTTATACAGCTTTCAGGGTGTATTGATGAAAAGCACACCGACAGCTTATTTTGTGTCTCCACCTGTAAATGCGTCTATCTGTGAATCGCCAAATGCTTCCTTATTTTTAACACAGAAAATTGCGTACAAGTATCATGAACTGTCCTCTTAATAAACGTATTCTCTGTGTGCGTTATAAAAACCTTTCCAAGGATAAATACGAAATGTATGACTGCACGGTAAAGCTAATTTTACTTTAATCTAACCCTATCTCCTCCCAGTTTGAAGCTCGACCAATCAGAGTTAAATGAGTGGAGTTTATGAATGGATGTGGGGTCGTGGGGTTGCGAAGCTCTGGGCCAAATTGAACAGTTTACATGCAACACCGTCAGTTTCTTAGAATAAACCCAACAGGGATCAGAGAACATGGCGTTAAGACTGTCAGAAAATAAAGACCACTGGACAATCAGCAGAAGCACAAAAGCTCGTGACAGCAGTGTTCACTGATTCAACATAGCCTGTATTTCATGATTAGTAGCGCACAGTTCATGTATGCAGGATAATGCATAGACTGTATGCGCACTCCTAGTCAATACTTATTATTAATTCTGACCGTTTTCCACATTTTAGCATAATAATACAACAAATCTTCGTGATGTGCATCATGAGAGGCTTTTTAAAGTTTCTGGACACTTAATGGCTGCCTTCCTTATAAGATTCCTTATAATCTATTAAAAACAAAATAACAAAAAATAAAATAAATACATTTTGTAAAGGCACAATTTAGGAAAATGCCTTTCCATCAAAATATGTAAAAAATGTGAAACAAATTCAGTAAGTCTAGTGTGTCCAATTTTAACTCGAATAAAATTATAGTATTTATAATTAATTCATATTATTTAGTGTATTAATATTCAATTACTATACATATATAAATTATAATTTTATTATAAAATGTATTTACATTAATTTCATTATATATATATATATATATATATATATATATATATATATATATTAATCATTAATTTCGACTATACCATATAATAACAACTACAGAATTATAATTAATATAATAATGTATTAATAACCCTTAATGTTCATTTATTATAAATAAATATAATTTATAAAATGTATATTACCTTTATTGTTCGGAATTTATATTGTTATATACAGTACATAATAATTAAACAAATGCCTACCAGTGTTTCTGCCCGTTTTTGTATGAAAAAAGCACTAAAACAGAATCTTCGATCAGTCCAATACATTTTAAAATGACCATTATGTGCATAACATGCCACCTAGTGGAAAACTGTGAAGTGTTGTTACAGGAGAATATCTGCAACGTAATACAGCCAACAACAAATAAAAATCTGCTGCTTTTCTGTTGCGCAATGCGGTCTAAGTCTTTGTAATTTCTTTCTGAACACGAACTTAATCTGAGAAAATGAAAGCTTTGTTTGATAAAAACGAATGAGCCGGGCAGGAGGGCAGAGCTGTTTGTGTGCTTTTGTTTGATTCACTTTTATTCTCTTATTTTATTCAGGGTTCTTGAGTGTAATCACGTTACAGGTTCTGCGTTTCTCTACATTTAAATCAACGGTCTGCTCTCCATACAGTCAGTGGGGTGGAAACACAGAACTGAGTGTTGCATAACCTAATCAATGTTGCCTAAGTTACCTGTAAACCTCTTTAGGGTTTTAGCAGGGGATGAATGTCAGTAACGCTTAAATCTTCAAACACTGTGAACGAGCAGTCAGGAGAAGCGCTGCTCCTGCATGAGGCTCTGAAAAGACCATGTTCTTCAAGACACAATGCTGAAGATTAAGTGCTGTCCTCCTCTTGGACAGAGAGAGTTATAAGGGCTTGATGGGGGAGAGGAGCCATTAAGATCAGGTTTATATGGCATGATGTGGGTGAGGATCTGAAAGCATTACAGAGACTTAAAAGACCGCCAGAGGTGTTTGATTAATCAAGGGGCTCGTTGAACAATCTGTTATTCATGCTGAAGAAGTCTAATGTTGAGAGCAAAAACTCACAAAGAGTGTGGGATATTAAGACATGAGTTGAGAGTCTGATTGTTTCTCTCTCTGGGAAAACACACACAGTACAGAAGGGTCACAGCTAGAGAAAGAGGAGTCTGTCACCGACATCAGTGTCAGCTCTGAAGGGGATATTAGTACAGCTGTGAGTGCTGCACTAACAGTGTTTATAACCTTTACAATAAAATGGACAACAGCAAGAAGGAATGAATGAATGAGGTAAGACAAAGTAGACACTTTTTGACAGACTCAATATACCAGATGAACTGAATTCACATGCAATGACTTACACACTCTGCTGCATTACAGACAGGTGAGCAGCAGAGAGCATTGTCATGTGTAAGGTGGATTCAGAGGTTGAAGGCTTTCCGCGTTAACTACTATATCTTTGGTTAGAAAGAGATTAAGGCATATATGAAAATTATGAAGTCCAAAAATGCCATCATTATCAGATCAGATATCATATGGGAGGTAGCGGGAGGTGTATGTATGATCAATAAGATATGACAACATAAGGTTTTACATTGCTTTAACAGTTCAAAATAAGTTAAGGAATTTTACATTTTTTATATAACTAAACAAGATTCAGCTTATTTTTAAGTCAGTTTAATGTAATTTAAGTTGAAATGACTTAAACATCCAAGTTGATTATACTTATAAATTTAAGGCGGCAACTTTTTAAAAATAAAAATAAACTTTATATTCATCAAAGAATCATGGGAAAAAAAATGGATCACGGTTTCCACAAAAAAAAAGAAAAAGCCCGTTTTCAACATTGATGATAATACGAAATGTTTCTTGAGCAGCAAATCAGCATATTAGAATGATTTCTGAAAGATCATGTGACACTGAAGACTGGAGTAATGATGCTGAAAATTCAGCTTTGATCACAGGAATAAATTAAATTTGAAAATATATTACAATAGAAAACAGTTCATTTAAATTGTAATAATATTTCACAATATTGCTGTTTTTACTGTATTTTTGATCAAATAAATGGTGATCAAGAGACTTCTTTCAAAAACATTTGAAAAATCTTATCGACCTCAAACCTTTGAACAGAAGTGTATATATATATATATAAATTGGACATTGGTGTTAAAAGCACCATCAGATGTGCAGCTCCTTCAAAACATGCCATGTTTTAAATTAATTTCCATTACTTTATACTAGTATTATAAAAATGTAGAAAATGTGGAAAACATTTGTGTTTTTGAAAAATATGATATAACTGGAATTTTAGTTTGGAGGATTCAATTCAGTTCAGTACATTGAACTAAAACAAACTAGTAAATATGCCACCACTTTAAAGCCATTGTCTTGTAATCACGTGAGAGAGTGAGAGAGAGAGAGAGAGAGAGAGATGCATACGGTATGTACATGAGGATGTGTGAGCACATAAACGACTGCCGCTCTGCCGTGTGTTGCATTACGCAAGCGGATCATAATCAGCAGCCGAGCTGCAGTGACAAGCGGCTTACGGGGGAGAAACACACAGCTGCGCTGCATGGAGTCAGCGTAACTCCCTCCCTCCCTCTCTCTCTCTGTGCCTGATCCTCTGGAGGAGCGAGCAGCCTCTGCTGTTGGAAGCGCAGGAGAGCCCTCTGGAGTCACCAAGGACCGGCGGATATGACCGACTGACATTCACACTCTCTTTCTCATTTTTAACCCCAGACTTCAATGGCTTTGAAAGAGAGCCTCCTCACCTGGGGTTTCCTGCTGTGGTCTATGACGTTGAGCTTGGCTCGGACTTTTACGCCACATGAAGGGTCTTCGGTCAGTCCCGTTTTTCATCAAACCACTCCACCTGCCACTGAGACGGAGATGAACAGCACTGAGGCTCCCACCAACAATTACACAGGTGCGTACAACAACAGTGTGCTTTCATGGTGATCACATAAGCATATAGTGCTATGCAAAAATGAGCAAATGCACTGAGCAGTTTTGTGCAAAAAAGTTGCAAGTGTTGTAGTGCATGTTTATTTTCGATATGTTTTGCATAACTTTTTCATTAAGAGCATACTCACCGTGCAGCATTTACAGTACACATCTGCGTAAAACCTGCAAAAACACACAAATATATAATACGTACAATACACTTACTCCTGAAGTTCATGTGTATGGTTTTAAAAAGCAAAATCTTCTTAAGGGTTTACATACAAACAGAGCTTTCATAATGGCTCGGATGAAATGCTCCAGGATCAACAGAGCAAATCACATCAGCCTGAGCTGTATATAACTCGGATTTTTAATATGATTGGAGAACATATAAAGTACGTTGGCAAGCTCTCCAGGCATGCACACTTTGCAAATAGTTTATTGATGTCTTCTGACCTAAAGTCAATATGTGCGACGGATTTGTGAGGGCTATGAGCTGGAGAGAAAAGGGACATTATCAAGCTGTAATGTGTTATATATAAGTTTGATTGCAGAGGGTGATTCTTTCATTTATCTGTGGAGGAAAAGACACCAACATACCTGAACCATCCAGAGGTGGTCAGTTACCTTGAGGTTTATTCCACAGGTGAAACAAAGGACGCTTTTTGCCACGTGGCAATGGCGAGTCCTTGGCAGTTTGTCAGTTCCGTTACAGGGTTGCCAGCTTTGAAAGTGAAATGGAGGGGGTTTATCACCACCGTGGCCATGACAGAATTTGCCCTGCTTTCAGCTTTCAGTGCACTGCGAACCTGAAGGAGCCTTGAGTAGATCTCTCTTGGAAAAGAACATGCCCGGGTCATATTTCATCCTATAGAAATGATATTCTCCATGCAGAAAAAAAGAGAGATAGTTTGTATAAAGGCAAAGGATATTTTAAGGACATTAAGAGATTTTTTCATTTCTAAGACAATTTAGCACATTTACCCCCAAAAAATTCTTATTGACATAATGCAAAAGAAAAAAAAATCTTATTCTCATTAATGTAAAGTGAAAAAATAATGATCTGTCATTTGATTTGTCATTTTTTTTGTTGCATATGGCAGTGTGTGTGTGTGTGCATGTTTTTAGAAAACAGTATTACAGTAGTATTTTATGTATTGTAATGTTCTGTATTATAGTAAAAATACATATGACAATAAATGTCACTGTGCAAAACAATCTTAATGGTCCTCAAACAGACCAAAGTATTTTCATGACAACTAACACATTTCCCCGACAATTCCCGATTCATTATTAATCCTTATTCTCATTTGAAAAGATAATTGGGAGAAAAAATAATTGCAATGCTAATAATGAAAATAACCGTACGTATCATGCATCTCCTTTATGAAAATTATAAAAAGGAAACCAGTAAAGTTGTTCCATTCACTCCGTCACCCATGCAACACAAATACAGAGGCTTCCACGTCACTTCTTTAAAGGGATTACTTAATGTGTTAAAGAGAGAAAGCCAGTTCACACAGAAATAGCATGCGGTGAGGGCAGCAGAGTTAGAATTACACGTTAAAAAAGCACAGCGGGAAAAGTTGTTCCACACTGTTCTCGAAGTTACATGACCGTGTATTCACAAACTGATCCACTCAATCTATCCCACTGGAGAATGTCTGTGGTATTACGGCAGTGCAGTTTCAGGAGCGTGTGGTCAGGCTGCCACTTCCCTCGGCTGCAGGGACTTGTGGGTCATCAATTTTTAATGCACGGCCCTATGCTTTATTTAATCATGTTCTATTCTAAGAGAACCTCTCTGGTGAGTACGGGATTGAGAATGAGACGGGAGGGAGGGGAGAGAGAAAAAAGTGACAGTTGAGTTATTCATTTGTTTTGCCATGGAGTCGGATTGCTTAATGCTAGCAATGGGCTCTGGCGTGAGCAGCATTGCCATGCCAGCTAAGCCGGGCTTAATGAGTCCAGCACAGGACTCTGTGGAGTCGAACTGGTGTGAACAATAAACACCATCAAGTGTACCCTGCCAGCTTAATCACACTGACTCCAGCACAGTCAATATGAGCTCAATTTTACTGTATATTGACAATGGAGATGGACAGTGCACTGATGAAGACTCAGTAGGAGAAGACAGAAGACGCTGAATCTTCTGTGGGAATGCAGAGAGACTGGAGGAGAGGTGGATTATGGGATAGAGTGAGGGCATGGGGACTCATAGAAAGAGAGAAGAAAAAATGCTTTCATCTTAACACTTGAGGATAATTAACTATAAGTCCCAGGGAAAATACACTCACAGACAGACTTAAAGCAGTCAATTTGATGGAAAACATGAGCGTTGATATTGTGATTATTGATATTTATTATTTATACTTATTATTTGTTATTTATTGAATGAAAAATAATATTTATTATTTGTAGGATAAAACTATGAATATATAAACAAACTTCCTGTATTTATTCTGTAATTATAACAAAGCTACTTGTTTTCTAACTTTTTTATTAACAGGACAATATTGTTATATTAAATTAATTAACCATGATTCAGTTTGTGAACTGTATGTACTTAATAGTAAATGATAGTTTTTTTGGGGTTTTTTTGCATTTTAATTTAGATTAGATTTGCATTTTTTATTTAAATACATAAATGTCATCCTGCGGCCCCCTGGTTGAGATCCACTGCATTCATTAATTCATTAAAGTGAGTGTTCTGGGTGTCTTTTCTTCTTTCATCATTCACCTGGTGAAAATCTTAAAGCCCAATCATAAAAAAGTGAGCAACAAGTTACATTCTATTCTATTCTATTCTATTTGATTTAGTCCAAGCATGAAAAATGATGGCAACATGTTGCATTCTATTCTATTCTATGTGTTTGATGTAGTCCAATCACAAAAAAGTCACAGCAACAAGTTCTATTCTTTTCTGTTTGATTTAGTCCAATCGTAAGAGACAGCAACAAGTTGCATTTTATTCTATTCTATTTGATGTAGTCCAAGCATGAAACATTATAGCAACAAGTTGCTTTCGATTCTGTTTGATTTAGTCCTGAAAAAAAAGTGACAGCAACAAGTTGCATTCTATTATATTCTATTCAGTGCTTGATTTTTTTTCCAAACGTGAAAAAGTGATATTCTACTCTGTGCTTGATTTAGTCCAATCATGCAAAAGCGAAACCAACAAGTTGCATTCTATTCTATTTAGTTGAATCATGCAAAAGCGAAACCAACAAGTTGCATTCTATTCTATTTAGTTGAATCATGCAAAAGCGAAACCAACAAGTTGCATTCTATTCTATTTAGTCCAATCATGCAAAAGCGAAACCAACAAGTTGCATTCTATTCTATTTAGTTGAATCATGCAAAAGCGAAACCAACAAGTTGCATTCTATTATATTCTATTTAGTCCAACTATGAAAAAGCAAAACCAATAAGTTGCATTCTATTCTATTCTATTTAGTCCAATCATGATAGAAACAAGTTGCATTCTATTCTATTCTATTCGATTCTATTCTATTCTATTCTGTGTTGGATTTAAGTGTATATTGAAGTCTTAGCACATTTAAAAGTGAGTTCTAACCATCTGTTTGCTTGTTTTTTTGCAGACCTGAGCTGCGTGTCGCTGCTGCCCCCTCGGCGAGGTTCTTTCTATGTAGAGAAGGGCACAGGGATGTCTGTGGGGACGGTGTTGGCGTTCTGGTGCCTCGAGGGGTACCAGCTGGTGGGCAGCGAGAAAATCACCTGTGTCCTGCGTATCAACACCGCTCAGTGGAGCAACTACCCGCCGGACTGCGAGGGTCTGTGTTCACTGCCATCATTTCTGTTTTAAAGAGATAAAAAGAGTTAAGAAATACACTCCTGCTAATTCAATCCCAGATTTTCAATGTGGACTATTGTGTAAATGTGGTAGCCATTCCCAAACCAGAGGACCGCGGGCTGAGAGTGGCCGTGCTGGCATCGATAGTGAGCAGCATCGTCATCTTTGCCATGTCCGTGTCCTTCATTATCTGCTGCCTGCAGGAGCGCATGAGCAAAGAGAGGGCAGAACGGACAGATGGACGGGGCAGGTATGACCGTTCATACACACTGGGGAAGAAGAGACAACGCAACCTAAAATAGAATGCTAATGGTTTTTCTGATTTTTTTCTAGGATGAGAGACAAGCGCAAATCATCCTGGAGGAGTGAGTGCTGGCTGGAAAGAGATGAAGGAGACTGGGAAGCTTTTCCTCCACCTAAAATTTACAATCTTTCCCAGCACCTTGACCCCCGTCTGACCCCTGAGATCCCGGTCTACATGGGGGGACTGGCTGGTTATGATAACCGCGGGTATCAGAGGTGAGAAACGGTGAATTGTTAAATTAGCTTGATTGTGTTTATATGTGAGATAGTAGAATAAATCACCCAAACATGAATATTCTGCCATCATTTAGGAAGAAAAAAGTTACATGGGTTTGGAACAACAATCAATTATGACAGAATTTTCCTTTTTGGGTGGTGTAACATGCTGCAAGATTCTTTAATGTTTTTAAAAGAAGTCTCTTACGCTCAACCAAGCTGCATTTATTAAAAATAGCTGTTTTCTTTTGTAATATATTTTAAAATTTAATTTATTCCTGTGATCAAAGCTGAATTTTCAGCATCATTACTCCAGTCTTCAGTGTCACATGATCCTTCAGAAATCATTCTAATATTCTGATTTGCTGCTCAAGAAACAATTATTATTATCAATGTTAAAAACAGTTTAATATTTTTGTTGAAACCATGATGCATTTTTTTTCAAGATTCTTTGCTGAATAAAGTTCAAACGATTTTTTGTAACATTAGAAAATGTCACATTTGATCAATTTAATGCGTTCTTGCTGAATAAAAGTTGTATTCTATTCTATTCTGAGTTTGATTTAGTCCTAATAATGAAAAAGTGACAGCAACAAGTTCTATTCTATTCTATTTGATTTAGTCCATCATGAAAAAGCTAAACCAACAAGTTCTATTCTATTCTATTCTATTTTATGTAATCCAATCATGAAAAAAGTGGTAGCAACAAGTTCTATTCTATTCTATTTTATGTAATCCAATCATGAAAAAAGTGGTAGCAACAAGTTCTATTCTATTCTATTCTATTTTATGTAATCCAATCATGAAAAAAGTGGTAGCAACAAGTTCTATTCTATTCTATTCTATTTTATGTAATCCAATCATGAAAAAAGTGGTAGCAACAAGTTATATTTTATTCTATTTGATTCAATCCAATCTCGAAAAAGGGACAGCAAAAAAAACTTTCTGACCCCAAACTGTGTTTGTTTTGCAGGAGTCAGGAAAACCTCATGAAAGCTCCTCTTCCTGGGCTTTACCGCACAGAAAGTCAGATGTATCCTCATGTGGTCCTGCAGAGGGTGCCCACACCCACTGTCCCGACTGCACCCAGCGCGCCCATCTACCTCCGCCTCTCCACCCCTCCGCCCACAGAAAGCCCCAGCGAACAGCCCGCTCTGCCGCCGTACCCCAGTGCCACTCCACAGCGCCTGTGGCCATAGCAGCACATTTCTGAGTATTCACAACTTTTACAACTGTCACCATGGCCACGGATTACGGCCTCTACATGCAAACGTCTCCTGTAGGGTGACTGGGGTTCAGAAAAGCAAGAGAAATGATGGACTCGAGCTAGAGCCACCTAGATCTCTAGACGTTGTGTGGGTCTCTGCATAGTAGTTACATTTAGTATGTTGCATATGTAAGAACATTTCTGAACGACTATAAGCAGGCCCTTTGTGTAGTTTCTTGGACAGGAAAGTTCCTAACTGGTACTGTGATCCACTCCAGGTTTTATTTTCAGCTAGTTCTTTTTCTTTTTGTGTCAAAGGTTCAGACTATTTGCACTCACTAACTAAAATGTAAATATCCAGCCGTGTCAGGTCACATTATTATGTTTATGTTTATTATGGAGGTATAAAAGAGTTGCATTGATGTCCTGATTACGGACAGACGTTGGGATCTCATAAACCTATTACTTAAAACTTGATTTTGTTTAAAACTAAAAAATAATAATAAAAAGATTCAAATTATTATCTGTCTTGTCTTTTTTATTGCCTACAATGTCTCACCACAGAGTCATAAAAATACATTTTTATAGAGTGCTTAAAAAAAAGACTGGGTGATTGTTTTTGGTCACACTTTATTTCACAGTGTCCTTGTTTCATGTGACATGTATTTACTATTGTAATAACTACACATGTTGCATTGTTAACTTAAAATGGAGTATTAACAATAGAATTTTTAAACATGTTTAAACATTTTAATACATGAAGGTTTATTTCATACTTTAAATAATAAAAAGCAATCTACTTTTCAGTGCAACAAGATCCATGGAAAAGCCCAATCATTCAGTCACTGCTGAATTTACTGTAACTAACTCATCATCTTTTTCTTCAGTGTTGCTTCCTATAACCTAAACTGCAACAGATAGGAGCACATGCCAATGCTGGAAAAGATGAGGTAAATAATTTGACAGTCGGCTAATTGGAAAGCTTCAGCACAAGTAGGCCAGTTTGACTGGACCCAGAAAGTTAGATCCTAAGAATAAACATAAATGTGAATTTTAAGTGAAACAAAAAAAAAAAGTCGGTTACACTTTATATTAATGTTTCCCTGTTACAGTGTAATTATACATTAAAGTAATGACTGAGTAATTATAATAAACTACATATAGGCTACTTACTATATGGTTAGGGTAGGATTAGGGTTTGTTTTAGGGTTAGTTGCATAATTATGCCTAATGGCTTTTTTGCACATTAACACTTATAACACTTTTGACGACTCATGAGAATGCTGTAATGTGTGGTATAATAGTTCAGTTAATAGCTCCCAGGTTCATTTATACTCCACACATCAATTTGAAACATTTGCTCAAAACTGACTTGCCTCTATCTCCACAAAGTGGCGCAATTGTTCCACAATCATTCCAGCCTGCAAACTCGTAATATTATTATAAAATATATGGTATTAACGAAATAGTTCAGTCAAAAAATAATATTCTTATTTACTCACCGACAAGTCTTTCCAAACCCCCTTTTCCCCCCTGGAACACAAAAGCAGAAGTTTATTTTAGCTGTTTGCTAAAACACATTCTATCAATGTAATCAAATATAACTTTTTATGTTCATTTAATTTTCCTTTTTTTTTTTTATCTTTTGTTATACTTACTACCGGCACATACGGGAACTTAACTGTCAATTTCGTCACCGCCCCTTTTTAGTGGAAAATAAACTTAATTTGGTCAATTTAAAAACATGTCCCTTCATTCTCCCAGCGTCAAATTGATGTAACAACCCCACCTAGAGGGGTTATATATATTATAAGATATATTATAATGTATATTATAAGACATAATATATACATTTAAATATGTTTACTTTCAAAAACGAAATAAAATCATTCACTGGCTTACCATGGTGACTCGATGAGGTACGACTACGAGTAAATGTCCGGGTAAGACACCTCTGGCCACTGGGTGGGGTTGTTACACCAATTTGAGGCCGGGAGAATGTTTTAAATTGACCAAATTAAGTTTGTCGATGTATCTTTCACGATCTATGGCAGGCAGGGTGGACATATAATTAACGTTACCTGACATGTTTAGTACTTTCTTAAGTTATTCACGCCTGCCGGCTGTGTATTACGGACGTTGTTTTGTGACGCTATTTTGGATTGAAGTCTATGGGAAGTCTAGTTTATTTTCCCCCAAAAAGTGGGCGTGAATCTGTTCAGAGACATTCTATGACGTTGCGCCGGTTGTGTGAGTATTGTTGCGTGTGGTATATTCCTCAGTCATAACAATGAGCCAAACCATGTTGCCACTATTTATAAGGGTATCTGCGCATGCGCAATTAGTGCGCTGCTCCGCTCCAAAGGCATAGAGATCGAGAATACACCTAACAGACAACACGGCAGGGAATGCATGGATGGGTGTATTAATAACTTCTACAATGCATTTAATATGACAGCATGCGCGGGATATGGTATGTGGAGTGAGTGAGTGAGTGAGTGAGCGAGGGTGTTGTTAAAGGTGACATTCCCATGGCCAGAACCAGCGCGGACGGGCTGCTCTGCCAGAACAACAGCAAACTGGACTCTTTCCTAAAGAGAAACACCAACCGGGATGTGTACGAGCGGATCCGGTTCTACGAGCCGTGTGTGGTGGTCTCGGGGTCGGTGAAGAAGGTTTTCATGCATGTGATCTTGACCGATGAGCGCGTGTATCTGAGCGAGTATCCTCCGCGCGCGCTGCGAGAGGCGCTCAGCTTCAGACACGTCACGAGCATCGAGCTGGTGAGAGCAAGATATACTGTATATAGACATATGTTGTTATTTCATCTATTGTTATTGCATATAGATTGATTAATGCATTTACTCAAACAACACAAGAGCATAATGGAGTACAACACAAGAGCATAATGGAGTATAACACAATGTAGTGTACACACATAGAATACAATAGAATACACACAACAGTAGTATATTAACAATAAAATAAAGCAATATAGACACCTTACTTCGTGTATTTGAGAAAATTAGAGAAAAGTTGCGTTGGTAGATATACAAAGGATATTTTGCTGACTTCTTTTGAATGTGCACAAATTCAAAAATCTTAATTGCAAAATTCATTGTCATTGAAATATCAGGTACATTTCAACAGTGTGAATGTGATTACCAGTCCTGGAGAAGTCATTAAAATGAATAAAATCTTAAAAGGTCATGGATGGAAATATACATTTGTGTAATTAAGCAACATTTTTTTAAAGCTAAAAAATGACTCTTTGTGAGAGCGATCTCCTTATCCAGTCATTACAAATGATTGGAAAATCTTGGAAAATCATGAAAATTAATCAGCCTAGAAATGTGGGAACCCTGTTTGAAGCATTTTACATGGCAGTAGGCTTATTTTTTGTATATTTATTAAACTTAAATTACCTCACTTTGCCATCAATATAACTTAATAACTTTTTTATTGATCAGTTTTAAATCATACATCACTCACCGTTGAGTCAATGTGCTCTAAATGTCAGATAAAGCACGACTGTCTACCAAGCAGTGGTGACAAGACAACGCTAATAATAGTGAGGACGTTTACTTATCCTGTCATGTTAAACTGCTTAAAGAAGGGTTGTTTGGTAAGCTTATGCACTTACACAGCTCAAAGCATGAGTCATGGAACGTTTCAGCACTGGGAGACTGTATAAGACAGACGGATGAAGCTTGTAAATGTCACACTGGCAGAATTAACAAGGAAAGGCAATTGATCTCTTAGGAATAACAGAATTATCCCCAGCTTGCTGCTCGCTGGGAATACAATAAATGCACAAATTTATATAAAAATATACATATTAATGATGCTAATTGATTATTGATGATTAGGCGTAGGCTAATTAAAAAATCATTCATTCCCGCTTCAAGCGGCTTACACTAAAGGCCTGTTCACAGCAAGGACAATGACTATAACGATAATAATGATAAATATATAGTTATAAAATCGTTTATACATAAAAGAATCGCAGAGTTCACACCCCAACTATAACGATAACGGCATAGAAACTATATTGTTGGAATCACTTTCAGTTTCAGAGCGATTTTTTTTCAGCTGATGAGTGATAAAAACAATGACAGCCAATCAGAATCCACCTGATTTTAAAGCGCTCGAGCATTTAAAGCTGCAGACGACAAAATTGCAGTGCGCGCTTAATAAACAGAACAATATCGCTAAGATAGTTATCGTTCTTGGTGTGAACGGGCCTTAATGTAATTAATCTGTGTTAGCGCAATGTCAACACACATCTCTATCTTTCCTCGCAGATCAACGATTTGCCTGATTTCCTCAGTGGAGAGGAGCGTGAGCGTTCGCTGCATATTCGTGTTGTTCATACTGTAAAGAATACTGGGAAAAAGAGCAAAGGATACAGCAAGAATAAGCCAGAATGCCCACCATCTCCATCGCAAGGACGCAACTCGAGTGCCCGGCATTCTCTGGAGGGTAAAAACAATTTAATTAAATCAAAAATGAATAATTAATCAGGAATTCATTAACGGTTCACAAGCATGACTGCATGGTTATCATTAGAAGCCCAGGATTCAGCCTATTTTCTCCTTGACTGTGTAATAGACCTGTAATCGCATTAGTCAAGTCCCTGACCTGCGCAGGGATGTGTGTTAATCCACGAGCTCTTTCACCTGTCCAGATGAAGCAGCAGTACTGACACATGCGTAACCCACATTGAGTTGTGTGCATGCGTCAGCTGTGAGTTTTGTGTCCATCTTAACTGTGCCTGACACTTCGGCATTGAGATTTACTCTGCCTGCACATAGGCAGTGCAGGAAAGCTGCTTAACCAGTTCAGGATAAACAGCTGAATGAGGTTATCTGAGAGAAACAGCACTGTGGACAAGACACACAAGGACACTCGGCAGTTTTACATCATTTGAGTTAATCTGTGAATGAAGAGGAGGCTCTCATTGTGAAATTTGTTCTATTATTTTAACAGGTCAATACAACGATTTAACGATTATTGGTTTACTGGGTTTTCTTATGTGTAAAACAGCAACAAAATTAAGCATACATATTCTAAACCTTAGTTTAAACAAACAACACAAACAAAGTCACACTTAAAGCTGCTGTAGGTAACTTTTGAAAAAATGTATTTGCTAAAACTGTCATTATGTCCTGACAGTAGAATATGAGACAGATAATCTGTGTAAAAATCAAGCTCCTCTGGCTCCTCCTAGTGGTCCTATTGCCATTTGCAAGAAATACACGCTCCCGGTCAGAAACAACCAATCAGAGCCAGGAGGAATGCCTTAGCAGTGTCAATCACGCTCGTGTATGCGCTGATCAAACCCCTCTCTTGCACAGCGCGAGCCGTCGTTCAAACTCAAGATTGCCGGCGTGCTGCAGCTGTGCTTATGACGGAGAAACAACCTAAACTGCCAATTCTCGAGTGACACCTGCTCATCAAACAAAGAGGTAAAAGGAAAAAGACCGATGACGATAAACAAGCGAAAAAGAAATAATTACACAGAGCCCATTGACTCGGTGTCAAAACTCTAGCCGCATAACATGTAGATAAAATGTCACGCACTCTGCTAAGCAACAATTGAAACCTGCTAATTCACTGGCTTGTCATGTTGCTGAAATAATGTACTAGCACACCTTATCTAGCATTATATATCGCTAGAATAATTACTCACATACTGTAACGTTAGTTACCGTTATATTAACGTTATCTTACTAGCTATTTATAACTTATAGAAAGAGTGCAACGTTATAAAGTTACATGTAGGCTATTGCAAAATACATAATGATTTGAGGACCAAGTTTGTAGTCAAAGTATGGGCAGGCCATAGTCAATGTAAAGCATATTATTGACGTTTAGTCCATATTAGTGAATGTGCCATATAACTTTTTATCCGCTGTTATCGGTGGCCCTGTTTACTAGCCTGCGCGTTCACGACAGGCTCCGCTGTGGAGGACGAGCTGTGGAGGGAGGGCTGTAGCGCAGCAGAGAGCAAGGGGGTGGGACCTGTAAGTTGTGCTTGTTCAAATTTTCAGGCTAAGTCAACGTTTTCTCAAAACTCCCTACTGCAGCTTTAAAGGAAGATGCCGACTTTTTGGGACTTTAGCTTATCCACCTTATCCCCCAGAGTTAGATAAGTCCATACATACCCTTTTCATCTCCGTGCGTGCTGTAACTCTGTCTGACGCACCCACCGCTAGCCTAGCTTAGCACAAAGACTTGAAGTAAATGGCTCCAGCTAGCATACTGCTCCCAATAAGTGACAAAATAACGCCAACATTTTCCTATTTATATGTTGTGATTTGTATAGTCACAGTGTGTACAAATAACAAGGTCATATGAGACACAGGCATCTTTTAACCGTATACATACTGGGAACTATACTCTCAGAAGGCGAAGCACTGCTACTTGGGCGGAGTGATTAGCGCAACACTCTGAGCGAACTCTCTGCTCCTCACCACGGGGCTTCTCAGGTGCTGCGAGCAAATCACTCTGCCCAAGTGTTTTCGTGTTTTGATGGCTTAATCAAACTTGTATGGTCATTAAAAAGAAATATCCCCCGCGGACAACACTTTTGGCCACTACTGCACATTCAAGTAATTGCCGTATAAAATGGCTGTTAGGGAAAAAAAAATCAATAGATCCGGACAAAAAAAATGAATGTGATGTTGTTTGTTGTTTTAAAATTAAGCACCATTATGAATCTTTTTAAGTAGATCATTTCATTAAGATTTCAGTTTGTCATCTCAGATAAACTTCAACTCGCTTAGTGTCAAAATGAAACCAAATAAGTGTTTTCCTGTGATCCTGCAGGAATGAGTCATCTTCTCCTGTCGACACGCTCAGCTCCGTCTGAGTCCTCCAGCTGGAGAATCTCTCCCACATCAATGAGGTAAAGCCCTCTCAGTGTTAACGGTCTCACGACTGCTGTGTATTTGTGACCGTCACAATGACCCATTCAAAGTGCTTTATCTCCACCACACAGCTTTTTACTGCCTCCGACTCTACAATGCACAGGACGAACAGACTCCGTTTTGAAGAGGAATTTGCTTAGCAACTCGAGCCACAGCGATCTTATTAAACAAAACGGTGTGATAGTAAATGTGGAGATATTCACATTTTATATCTCAGGGGGGCGCACAAGAACGGTCTGTGTTGTGCTTTGTTGCTTAGAACCTAGATGGATTAAGTTTTTGTCTGTGCTAAACTATCAATGATGCTGTATAGGCGATACATACTGATTTAATGGTTCATAAGGTCATAAAGCTGAATGGTTTAACATAAGAAAAAATGACTTGGAGTTTTATCCAGTGACATGCAACAAAAAGCATTAACTGGAGCAATTTAATGGATCAAAAAGTAGAAAATGAATTAATAATAGGCTGACACATTTGCATAATGCCAGTCTATGGTCTTGATTGGCTGCTGGCAAACAACGTCTAGTTTGACCGGCTCTCAAACGGTAGTTGTAGCTGAGGCCCGGAAGAGTTTGGTTTGTGTTATCGACATGTTGAGAAGATGCTGTTTTCTGTTTTTTGCAAGTTTTGTTCACTTCCAAAGAATGAGGAATCAGGCTCAAATTGATACGGTAAAACCGACGCCATCGTTGCTGTTCTTATTAACTGTGAATCAAGTGTTGAGCTGAAATTCAGTTTCATTTCCGACACGTGCTGTAAGTGGTAGACCAATTACAAATTACTGGGCCATCTGACC